CATTTTTGTAAAAATTCATTGGGGTTAGATTTTTAAATTTCTTGTTTTATTCCCCTCCACTCACAGACAATGAATTGTACATATGAGGACCAGGTAGAACTTAATGGAGTTTTTTTTTGGGGGGGGGAGCATTATAGTGGATGATGTAAGAATAGTAAGTAAGACTGCGTTGTTTTGGTGAAAGTAATATTGTTGTGTGTTTGGGCCAGTGTTTGTGGCTAACTAAGTTTAACATTAAGACAGAAGACCGTCCTTTCCCCCCCCCATTCCTCTTTTTGGCCTTGTGCCACATTTTGTATCATTATACAAATAAATCGAAAGCGTTACTATTGTTGTATCTGTGATTTACAAAGTCTCTCCTACAAACAGGCATTACAAAAGAGAGATAGCAAAAAGATAAAATTTTACTAAAAGCAACAAAGGACAGGCAATTGTGGAGGGTCGTGATGACTCATGTCCTGAAGAGATATGGCACGTAGAATTAGAAGTATTAATTTAAGATTAGAGTTCGGATAAAGTGGGGGATTTCAATTCTGTTGTTATTAAGTAATAAACAGAACACCAAGATTTATTACATCGATTGGGTTGGTGCATAATTATCAGGCGTTTTGTAGGCGAGTTATTTGTTAATAAAAATTGCTGTTTTGTTTACTTTTTCAATAAAAATATTTTTTTATTTTCAGGTTATAAAAATGCATGTCGATAATCATACGCTAGGAAATAATCATTTAAAAATGTTATTGTTGAATTATTATATTTATTTTTTAATAACAAAAATATTATTTTAAAACGCCTGATAATTATGCACCAGCCCAATAGCTAATAGACGTAGATTGATAGCTAGATAAGAATAGATTGAGATAGATAGATAGATAGATAGATAGATAGATAGATAGATAGATAGACAGACAGGGGCACCTCGGGTTGGTGTAATGACTGGCAAACTTATCTCGCTAGAACAATTACGACTGTGTAGTGAATCCGATCCTCACTGGGCGCCCATACTTTCGGCCTTGTGCTACATCTAAACTACGCTTGGAAAATCCCCTGACTGACTGAGATTTTATTTTCAGGTTCTAAAAATGCGTGCCGATAATCATACGCTCCGGAATAATCATTTAAAAATGTTATTGTTGTTATGTTATGTTTCTTTTTCCTAATAAATAGTGTTTAAAAGACGCCTGATAATTATGCACCAACACAGTATCATACGAAAATGCTAATTTTGTATGTATGTATGTTTGTTTCCAAGATACAGCTTAAATAATATATAATGTCCCAACCAATCTAGGAGCATATTGTACCGTTAACCCCCGCCGAGTACCGTGCCACATATCATTAAAACTAGAAAATGGATTCTGTGGCTAGGGCCGCTTTTTTTTCTGTTTTTACGGTATTTTTAATAGGAAATTCAGTATTTGTTTCCAATACACCTTCTTATATCAATCCGCGTCTATAAACAAACACTTGCATATTATATTCCAACTGTTATATGTGCGAAAAATAATATACATGCATAATACATTATGACAATATTATTAAATAAATTTAAATATACATAACACAACTTATGCAATTCGCTCCACTTCATGGAATTTTTTTTTTATAAATAAGTCTCTTTTGATAGGTGAAAAGGCTATGTGGTTGTGTCATTGTAAAGCATGGCTGGAAAAATGTGTCACATGACTTTGATGGTGAGTAGGTGCATGCTGGTTTGCAGCCGTTACATATTTTAAAATAAATGTGAGGAAGAAATAAGATCTGTATAATAAAAAACATAATTATTATTTTGAAAAACAAACAACCCCCGTCAAAAAATAATGAAACTAAGTGCACAAAAAAGAGGCATCCATACTTACATATGTTATTTCAATAAATAAAAAATCTCCCTAAAGCAGACGATTACTCTTTGTTTTTGTTTTGGTTGTTTTGAATGACGATCACCTTTGAAAATTATAATATGATAAATACTAAAATTGGTATAAATTGTTACCCCTGGGGCTACTATTACTTAAATGGAAAGGCTTTTACTGTGATATTATTTTGCAATTCCATTCTAAAAAAAAAAAAAGAAAACTTTTTCTTATTGCATTTGATCTTCTAAGTAATATTGTATAATGTGAGTAATAATAATTATTACAATAACTTATATTTCAAATATCAATTAAAATATGTCTAATTAATAATAAAATTGATAATATTGTTACCTCATCATTTTGTATCGTGAACGGCTTTTAAAAGGAGCCCAGCTTGTTTATGTGTCGTCTAGCTTTAGTATATAATAATTTGGAAATGTATACGGAAAGATTTATATGTGAAAAGTGTGTAATAATGATAAGGATTTTACGAAATATGTCATAGTTTTTTTTATGGTAAGCGTAAACTCGTATTAAAATAAGTAACATACATATCAGATTTCTCTGAGACAGGCTTTGCCATTGTACATTGGTGTACAAATTGAATATATGTTCGAAACTCCGGAGACTGTCATCCCAGACAGTATCTCTCATTTGGCTAGAGTCATAACCTGACGGGTAAATGTCTGTTGTGCATGTGGGCTCCCACTGTAAACTCGACGATGTGCCACATTTTGTATGAAGTGGGCGTAAATAAATACTCAACAAGTTCCAACTTCAATGTGGCACAAGGCCACAATTATGGAGCACCCAGTGAAGATCGAACTTACTGTTTACTTATTTGTAATTGATTTTACGAGATAAGGTTGTTGCCCATTACACCACGTCGAAATGTACCCCACGTTTCTACTACAGTTATTTACTAGGCAGAGTTTGATGTGACACAAAGCCGCACATATGCGTAGATATGACAAGCATGGGGAGAATTCAGTGAATATCGAACTCACTACTCAGCTGTAATCGATCTAGCGAGATTGACTGATTGATTTGTTTCTTAAACTCTTGGGTCATTTAATGCTAAAATTTAATTTTCTTGTGAGCTTTGAAGTAATACAAATATGATACATGTTATTCTACTTTCACAATTGAATAGATGGTAGATGATACTCAGCTTTTGTGCATATATATGTTTGTCTAGACACAATTACTAGAGGTGTTGATATGTGTTTTTATGTTGTAGTTTTGTTGAATTTATATTTTGGAATACAATTTGATTTCTTTAAGAAATTGCAGGATATTATATGGATTAATATCATGAAAAAGTTCTTTCATGTTGCTTGTTTGGTTTGTTGGTTTTCTTTGGCAGCATATCATGGGTTATGGGTTATTTAATGCCAGAATCAAATTATTTTATACATAATTTTATACTTTCAGAGTAAAGGTATGTTTAGATATATTTTTTGTAGATAATTTTACTATAAAAATGTATTTTTATGTTTCAGTGTTGCACTGGTTGTCATTTTGCAATAAAAATGTATTTTTGGTCATTTTATTCTAAAAATGTACTGTTGTTGATTTTTGTTTGGAGGGTCACTATTTGCCCATAGCTGGGACCCTAACAGGTGCTACCACCACGGATTAGAGTTTACTTTGGAACAACAGAAATTAAGAGGTGTTTCCACGCTCCTTAAAACCTCCAATCCCCATCAGAGGCCGGATATAGTTTATCGTCAGGATTCCGTGAAAAAGGCAACGGGAAACAATTCAACCGACTTTTCAACTCAAAGGTTTTTGGCATAGTGTGGCATAGACGGTTGCTACACAAACACTCTAGCTGTGGAATCTCTGGAAATGTCCTTTAAATAATCAAGTCTTGCCTGTCAGGTCCTTGAAGTTTATTATCAATGGCCAGGAAGCCTAATGGATCAACGCAGGCGTCCCACAAGGCACACCATTCAGTCATGTTCGCTTTCTGCTTCATATTAACAACATGAAGAACATTCTCAGATCTTTAGTAAACATATATGCAGTTGATACAACAGTGTGTCACCAAAAATCTAAATGACCAGAGTCTGGTACCTGATGTCACTTCCGAGTGAAACACCAAAAAAGAATCTGCAATATTATCAGTTCTGATCTGGCGGCTCGGCTTCAGTCACTTTCCCACCGCCGTAAAGTTGCCTCCCTGTGTCTTTTCTATAAACACTTTCATGGTAATTGTTCGGATGCGATCTTCGCTATGGTACCTAGACGTTTTGAATTTAAGTGCAGTACTAGACTGGCGACAAGGCCTCATCGATATACAATTAAGTTGGCTAAATGTAACCGTAAGTTCTATGCTAACAGTTTCTTTTCTCGCACTTCACGTTTGTGGAACTCCATTCCGGCTTCCATGCTATTCAACCAACTTTAATCTGTAAAAATTGAAATGCAATGTCAATCGCTATCTGTTGTCCTTCAGATTACTCTTCTTCTGTACTCGCTCCTTAGTGTTGTTTCAGTTTTTTAATTCTTCTACACCCAGTAACCCGCCACCTTCGTGTCTTAGTGGCTTGACTACCTTGCTCAGGAGGAACTTGATGAACGAAAAACTCTAACTGACCAACGTGGGGGTGGAAGAACTGGCTTGTGATTTTCAATACTTCGAAAACCGAGGTAGTAACGTTTCATTATTACTGAGCTGAACCTAAATCACACGATCATGAGTCCCGGAACCCATTAGGGCTGTAAAGGTACCAACCACATGTACTGCAGCCGCAGTGACAATGGTGTTTGCTGGACAAAATATCATGACGGAGCCCAATCTTTACTAGACTGGTTTGAATTCAGAATTTTTCATTCTTGTAGGCTGGTTGTTACTCAGGGCTATAGAACTGAGTCTGTCCTGATATTTACCCATAGCTGGGGGGAGAAAGGGGTTCATACCTTCCCCAAGTAAATGAACGTAATGAACTCGACTGGAATTCGAACTCGGCTCTCTGATTCCTCAATCCATTACTCTACTGTGTTCCTAAATACTGACCCGTAAAATTGAATCGTTGCACTCTCAAAGAGGCTCCATTGCAAGTTCGCCACAGGCTCAAGTATATATACGATCCATCGCTAAAGACGCTGGGGAAATGGTCAGCTCCTTATACTTCTACCGCCATATCACGTTGAAACACCGGTTCCCGCACGATCACCGAAGTTAAGCACCATCGAACCTGGTCAATAACTAGAGGGGTGACCACTTAGGAATATCAGATGTTGTAAGCTTGGATGCGCAAGTGGTTTAATATATAATGGCTCGAAATTGTAAATCAGAGAACCGAGTTCCAATTCCAGTTGGGTTCGTTAGATTCACTTACGCGCAAATTTCCTTGGGAAAGGCATGAAACCAACTCTTCTCCTCCCTCCCCCAATGAGTAGGTCTTGTGTCAGTAATATAGTAGAATTATTTAAGACAATAGGAACTTGCTTAACAGCTTTAATGAACTCAGTATTTACCCAGTTTCCCCACTAAGACGACACAAGGTCAGTTTTTATGAGTGGCGATTCCTAGACGGTAGGCTCGGGCAAATATTCCCTATAGACACCGTAATAACGGGGTCGGGTTTGTCTACCTTCCCAGACGAGACTCTGTCCTTCGGCATAGTCTTGTCTGGGTTCCTCTCCGCCCGGAAGTTTGGCGAACTGGTATTTACCAACTTCCTCACAAGGCAAGATGTAGCACAAGGCGATTCCGAGCCCGTAGGCTCGGGCAAAAATTTCCTCTAGACCCTGTATAAACGGGGTCGGGTTTGTCTACCTCCCCATACGTGACTCTGCCCTCCAGCATAGCCTCGTCTGAGTTCTTCTCTGCCCGAAGGCAAAGAGGTCGACAAGTATTGTGTTCACAAACCCGAAGGTTTGGCAAATTCTGCATAGCAGCAGGGTTCTTCCGACTATATGTTCAGCTTGGATCTATTAATGGGGAAAAGGGATCATACCACAAGGAAATCATTTTTGTCTTCAAAAAATTCTTACAGTCTGAAAACATTATCGGGTTTTAAATAAACAACAAAGAGAATGGTAAGCGTAAAAAGACAAATCAAACAATATACGTTCCAGAAACTACCTGAATCCACCTGCCTTAATCTATTCTTTGCAAGAGTCAGAACGAAACCAAAAATGGAGTAATGATACCATAACTGGCCTGGAAGTGGACAATTTTTTCTTTCCAGTCAGACTTTCCTTAACAGAATTCAAAAGTGTTTACACTGCCCTGTAGGCAATCAAATATTTTTTCTATTCTACACCCCCCTAATAGACGCAACATCTAAGATGAACTACATTCCCTAGATTTACCAGTTCAGACCTTTACAGCAAAGACCCGTCAAGCCATAGACACAGTAGCAAACCATCCTCATTCTCTTTCAATTCCATTGCTAAAAAGAAAGCCGTTATTTCGTGAAACAGACATCCGAGGAAATACTGACCAAAATACTACAATCTTAATCTTTTCAAATCTATGGTCGAACGTTACATATCGAAGTATTTATATAATCTGCACTTACTGCCCCCTTTGTTACATTCACTTACGCACAAATAGCCTTGGGTAAGGTGTGATCTTTCCCACCCCAGCTATGGGTTAAATTGTAGAAGTTATTTCTGGAAAAATCACTGTCATTCTAAAAAAAGAAAATTGTTATTAAAATAGTCACTCGAAAAATAGGATATATTCTTAGAATATAAAATCCGTTCCAGCTATAAACAAACAACAAACGCATTTATGTAACCCACTATACAGAGTGGTTCTCCTGTCTTGTATTGGGTGAATATCTGGTAAGAAAATGTAATGGAAATTCATAGATAATAAAAAAACGGAGTGTGAGGAGAGGCATTGATGCCAATGTCCGGAAGCGGAAGAAAATAAAATAGAAAAAAAAAATGAATAAAATCTATCAATTATGAATCGAGTAACATCAACAGGAATTGTGAAAAGTAAATAAGTAATTACACAACAGTACACAAGATGAAAGTATAAGTTGTTTTTTAAGTGGGTTGGAAAAAAGAGAGCGAACGAAATCGAAAAGAAAAATAAGAAAGAAGAGATTGAATTAAATCAAAAAAGGATAGAGGAGAAGAAAGAAGTGAGTGAAGGAAATAAAAAAGGAGAGAGGAGAAGAGTGAAGGAAATAAAAAAGGAGAGAGTGGAAGAAATTCAGAAAGGAGAGAGTAGGGAAAAGAAGAAAAAGAACAAAATAATAAAAAGGAAGACTGTAAAAAAGAAGAGAGTGATTAAAATAAAGAGAGTGAGAGAGAGAGTGATAGAAAAAAGACAGCGAACAAAACCCAAGCAAGAGAAAGTGGAGAAAGAAGAGAGTAAAGGAAATCGAAAGAAATGAGAGAGTGGTAGAAAGAAGAGTAAGAACGAATTTAAAAAAAAGAAGACAGTATGAGAAAGAGATTGAAGAATATTAAAAAGTATAAACTGGGTGAAAGCAGAGAGTAAGTGAAATATAAACAGAGAGAGTGTGAAAAAAAAAAAGAAAGTAAAGGAAATGAAAAAAAGGAAAGAGTGTGAGAAAGGAGAGAGTGAGGGAAAGCAAAAAAGAAACTGCAGGAGAAAGAAGAGAAACAAAGAAATTTAAAAAAAAGGAGAGAGTGTGAGAAAGAAGCGAGTGAAGAATATAAAAAAGTGAGAAAATGGAAGAAAAAAGAGGGCAAATTAAATAAATAAAAGGAAAGAGTTGGACAAAAAAGAGACTGAATGAAATCAAAAGAGGAGAGAATGAAAGAATGAAGACAGGGAACGATAACGAAAGAGGAGAGAGTGGGTGAAAGAAGGGAAAGAAAGAAATCAAGAAGGAGAGAGTGTGAGAAAGAAGCGATTAAAGAATATAAAAAAGTGGGAGGGTGGGAAAGGAACAGTGAAAACTAAATCAAAAAGGGAAAGAGAAGGACAAAAAAGACAGTGAACAAAATCAAAATAAGAAACAGTGAGAAAATGAAGAGAGAGGACGAAATCAAAGGTGGGGAAAGTGGAAGATGAAGAGAGAGAGAGAGAGAGAGAGCGAATTCGAAAGCGGAGAGAGTGAAAGAAGAACGTGTGTGAAAGAAATCAAAAGTGAGGTGAGTGAAATAGTGAAGAAAAAGAATGAATTCGAAAGAGGAGAGAGAGGGAGAATGAAGATGGTAAACAAAATAAAAAGGAGAAAGTGGAAGAATGAAAAATATGAAAGAAATCAATGGAGGAAAGAAAGGAAGAATGCAGAGACAAAAGGTAAAAAATGAAAGAGAGAAAGATAGAAGGAAGAGACAGACAGAAAACAAAAAAAAACAAAGAATGGAAGAAAAAAGATAGAGAAGGAAATCGAAATTGGTGAGAATGGGAGAATGAAGACGATGAAGAAAAACAGAATAAAAACGAGTCGAAGAATGAGATGAGAAAAAGACTAAAAAAATCTGCGAGGAAAGAGAGGAAAGTGAGGGAAAAAACATAATGAAAGACAGAAGAAAGTGAAAGAAAAACCATAATGTTGAGAAAAAGAAGGAAGGAAGGAAATAAAAAAGGAAAATATGTGTGAAAAAAGGTGAAAAAAATTTTGAGGAAAAGGAAGAAATGAAAAATAAAAGTTAACAAATATATGGAAGAAAGAGAGAAACTAAAAAACAAAATAAAGTTTGAATTCGAAGAATGAGAAGAGAAAAAAATAAAAAAAATTTTGAGGAAAAAAAGAAACGAAAAAAAAAAAATAACAATAAAGGCGGAAGAGAAAAAAAAAAACGTAAAATGGGAATTTGTTGAGAAGAAAAACAAAATAAAAAGGAATAATATTAAGAAAAAAGAACGAAATAAAAATACAATGGAAAGGGAAGAAAAAACTAAAAAAGAAAAGAAAAGTTTGAAAAAATAAAGAAAGGAAAAATTAAAAGGAATAATTTGAGAAAGGAGGAAATAAAAAAAAATAATTGCAATTTTGCCAAAAAAAGAAAAAACGGATGGGACATTTGGAAGAGAGAAGAACGTAGAAAAATTGAAAGGAATAAATTTGAGAAAAAAAAAAGAAGGAAAGAAATAAAAAAAAGATTAACACGTGAGAGAGAAGGCAAGAAAAGAAAATGAAACAAAAAAGAAAATTTAATACGAAAAAAAAGAATATGAACAAATAAAAAGAAAAAGGAAAAGGAAAAAAAAGGAAAAGAAGGAAAGAAAAAGAAAAGTTAAAAAAAGAGAAGAAAGAAACAAAATAAAAAGAAATAATTTGAAAAGAAAGAAAAATAAAAAGAGGATAAAAAAAAAAAAAAAAATTTAAGGAAAGAAAAGAACGAAATAAAAAAGGAATAAATGAGGAAAAGGAAGAAACAAAAAAAAGAAAACGTTAAATTTTAAAGAAGAAACTAAAAAAGTAAGGAATTTTAAGAAAGAAGAAAGTGAAAAAATAAAAGAAATAAATTAAGGAAAAGAAAGGAAAAAAAAAGGATAAACGCAGGAAAAAGATGCAAAAAACGTTTTGAGGAGATTTGAAATTAAAAGGAATAATTTTGAGGAAAATGGGAAACTAAAACGTTAACATTTAAGGAGAGAGAAGGTAACACATTTGTAAGAAAGAAAAAAGTGAACAAAATAAAAGAAATAAATTAAAGGAAAAGAAAGGAAACGAAATAAAAAGAGGATAATATCGATCAGGAAGGAATTTAAAAGAGTGCAGAAAATTAAAAGAAAACTTAAGTGAAATTAGAGGAGATCAGTAAGAGAATGAAATTAAAAGGAATAATTTTGAGGAAAATGAAGAAACGAAAACATAAAACGTTAACATTTGTAGGAGGAAAGAGAAGAAATTTAGAAAGAAAAAAGAAACACATGGAATTTGTAAGAAAGAAGAAAGTGAACAAAATAAAAAAGAAATAATATTAAGGAAAAGAAAGGAACGAAATAAAAAGAGGATAATATCGGCAGGAAGAAAGAGTGCAAATTAAAAGAACTTAAGTGAAATTTGAGGAGATCAGTAAGAGAATGAAATTAAAGGGAATAATTTTGAGGAAAAGGAAGAAACGAAAACATAAAACGTTAACATTTGTAGGAGGAAAGAGAAGAAACTAAAGTAACACATGGGAATTTGTAAGAAAGAAGAAAGTGAACAAAATAAAAAGAAATAATATTAAGGAAAAGAAAGGAACGAAATAAAAAGAGGATAATATCGGCAGGAAGAAAGAGTGCAAATTAAAAGAACTTAAGTGAAATTTGAGGAGATCAGTAAGAGAATGAAATTTAAAGGGAATAATTTTGAGGAAAAGGAAGAAACGAAAACATAAAACGTTAACATTTGTAGGAGGAAAGAGAAGAAACTAAAGTAACACATGGGAATTTGTAAGAAAGAAGAAAGTGAACAAAATAAAAAGAAATAATATTAAGGAAAAGAAAGGAACGAAATAAAAAAAAGAGGATAATATCGGCAGGAAGAAAGAGTGCAAATTAAAAGAACTTAAGTGAAATTTGAGGAGATCAGTAAGAGAATGAATTGAAAAAAGGAATAATTTTGAGGAAAAGGAAGAAACGAAAACATAAAACGTTAACATTTGTAGGAGGAAAGAGAAGAAACTAAAGTAACACATGGGAATTTGTAAGAAAGAAGAAAGTGAACAAAATATTAAGAAATAATATTAAGGAAAAGAAAGGAACTAAATAAAAAGAGGATAATATCGGCAGGAAGAAAGAGTGCAAATTAAAAGAACTTAAGTGAAATTTGAGGAGATCAGTAAGAGAATGAAATTAAAGGGAATAATTTTGAGGAAAAGGAAGAAACGAAAACATAAAACGTTAACATTTGTAGGAGGAAAGAGAAGAAACTAAAGTAACACATGGGAATTTGTAAGAAAGAAGAAAGTGAACAAAATAAAAAGAAATAATATTAAGGAAAAGAAAGGAACGAAATAAAAAGAGGATAATATCGGCAGGAAGAAAGAGTGCAAAATTAAAAGAACTTAAGTGAAATTTGAGGAGATCAGTAAGAGAATGAAATTAAAGGAATAATTTTGAGGAAAAAGGAAGAAACGAAAACATAAAACGTTAACATTTGTAGGAGGAAAAAGAAGAAAGAAACTAAACACATGGGAATTTGTAAGAAAGAAGAAAGTGAAAAAAAAAAAGAAATTAAGGAAAAGAAAGGAAGAAATAAAAAGAGGATAATATCGGCAGGAAGAAAAGTGCAAATTAAAGGAAAATGAAAAAAGAGAATGAAATTAAAAGGAATAATTTTGAGGAAAAAAGAAAGAAAAACATAAAACGTTAAATTTGTAGGAGGAAAGAGAAGAAACTAAAGTAACACATGGGAATTTGTAAGAAAGAAGAAAGTGAACAAAATAAAAAGAAATAAATAAGGAAAAGAAAGGAACGAAATAAAAAGAGGATAATATCGGCAGGAAGAAAGAGTGCAAATAAAAAGAAGAATGAAATTTGAGGGATCAGTAAGAGAATGAAATAAAGGAATAATTTTGAGGAAAAGGAAGAAACGAAAACATAAAACGTTAACATTTGTAGGAGGAAAGAGAAGAAACTAAAAAGTAACACATGGGAATTTGTAAGAAAGAAGAAAGTGAACAAAATAAAAAGAAATAATATTAAGGAAAAGAAAGGAACGAAATAAAAAGAGGATAATATCGGCAGGAAGAAAGAGTGCAAATTAAAAAGAACTTAAGTGAAATTTGAGGAGATCAGTAAGAGAATGAAATTAAAGGGAATAATTTTGAGGAAAAGGAAGAAACGAAAACATAAAACGTTAACATTTGTAGGAGGAGGAAGAAACTAAAGAAACTAAAGTGAACAAAATAAAAAAGAAATAATATTAAGGAAAAGAAAGGAAAAGAAATAAAAGAGGATAATTTGAAAAAGAAAGAAGAAATTTGAGGAAAGTAAACAAAATAAAAAGAAATAATTTAGGAGGAAAAGGAAAAAACGAAAAAATAAAAGGAATTTGTAGGAAAAAGAGGATAATATTTGTAAGGAAGAAAGAGTGCAAATAAAAAAAGAAATTAAGTGAAATTTGAGGAGATCAGGAAAATTAAAAAGAAGAGAATGAATATCAAAAAGAAAGGGAATAATTTTGAGGAAAAGGAAGAAACGAAAACATAAAACGTTAACATTTGTAGGAGGAAAGAGAAGAAACTAAAGTAACACATGGGAATTTGTAAGAAAGAAGAAAGTGAACAAAATAAAAAGAAATAATATTAAGGAAAAGAAAGGAACGAAATAAAAAGAGGATAATATCGGCAGGAAGAAAGAGTGCAAATTAAAAGAACTTAAGTGAAATTTGAGGAGATCAGTAAGAGAATGAAATTAAAAGGAATAATTTTGAGGAAAAGGAAGAAACGAAAACATAAAACGTTAACATTTGTAGGAGGAAAGAGAAGAAACTAAAGTAACACATGGGAATTTGTAAGAAAGAAGAAAGTGAACAAAATAAAAGAAATAATATTAAGGAAAAGAAAGGAACGAAATAAAAAGAGGATAATATCGGCAGGAAGAAAGAGTGCAAATTAAAGGAACGTAAGTGAAATTTGAGGAGATCAGTAAGAGAATGAAATTAAAGGGAATAATTTTGAGGAAAAGGAAGAAACGAAAACATAAAACGTTAACATTTGTAGGAGGAAAGAGAAGAAACTAAAGTAACACATGGGAATTTGTAAGAAAAAAGAAGAAAGTGAAAAAAATAATAAAAAGAAATAAATGCAAAAAAAAAAGAAAGGAACGAAAAAAAAGAAAAGAAATGATAAAATATCGGTAGGGAGGAAAGAAAAGAGTGCAAATTAAAAGAAAGAAGAAAGTGAAATAAAAGGAGATAATATTAAGGAAAAGAAAGAGAATGAAATGGCAGGAAGAAAAGGAATAATTTTGAGGAAAAGGAAGAAACGAAAAAAACATAAAACGTTAACATTTGTAGGAGGAAAGAGAAGAAACTAAAGTAACACATGGGAATTTGTAAGAAAGAAGAAAGTGAACAAAATAAAAAGAAATAATATTAAGGAAAAGAAAGGAACGAAATAAAAAGAGGATAATATCGGCAGGAAGAAAGAGTGCAAATTAAAAGAACTTAAGTGAAATTTGAGGAGATCAGTAAGAGAATGAAATTAAAGGGAATAATTTTGAGGAAAAGGAAGAAACGAAAACATAAAACGTTAACATTTGTAGGAGGAAAGAGAAGAAACTAAAGTAACACATGGGAATTTGTAAGAAAGAAGAAAGTGAACAAAATAAAAAAGAAATAATATTAAGGAAAAGAAAGGAACGAAATAAAAAAGAGGATAATATCGGCAGGAAGAAAGAGTGCAAATTAAAAGAACTTAAGTGAAATTGAGGAGAGGAAGATCAGAGAAAAGGAAGAAATGAAAAATGTTAAATTTAGGAGGAAAGAGAAGAAATAAAGCAACATTTTGAAGGAAAAGGAAGAAAGTGAAAAAATAAAAAGTTAACATAAGGAAAAGAAAGGAATGAAATAAAAGAGGATAATAAAGAGAAGAAACTAAAGTGAAAACACATAAGAGGAATTTAAAAGGAATAATTTTGAGAAAAGGAAGAAAGAAAAAAAACAAAAGGAGGAAAAAAAGAAATAATAACACATGGGAATTTTAAGAAAGAAGAAAAGAAAATAAAAAGAAATAATATTAAGGAAAAGAAAAACGAAAAAAAGAGGATAATATCGGCAGGAAGAAAGAGTGCAAATAAAAAGAACTTAAGTGAAATTTGAGGAGATCAGTAAGAGAATGAAATTAAAAGGAATAATTTTGAGGAAAAGGAAGAAAAACGAAAACATAAAACGTTAACATTTGTAGGAGGAAAAGAAGAAATTAAGGAAAAGTAACACATGGGAATTTGTAAGAAAGAAGAAAGTGAACAAAATAAAAAGAAATAATATTAAGGAAAAGAAAGGAACGAAATAAAAAGAGGATAATACAAGAAAGAAGAAGGAAGAAATAAATTGCAAATTAAAAGAACTTAAAAAGGTGAAATTTGAGGAGATCAGTAAGAGAATGAAATTTAAAAGGAATAATTTTGAGGAAAAGGAAGAAACGAAAACATAAAACGTTAACATTTGTAGGAGAAAAAGAGAAGAAACTAAAGTAACACATGGGAATTTGTAAGAAAGAAGAAAGTGAACAAAATAAAAAGAAATAATATTAAGGAAAAGAAAGGAACGAAATAAAAAGAGGATAATATCGGCAGGAAGAAAGAGTGCAAATTAAAAGAACTTAAGTGAAATTTGAGGAGATCAGTAAGAGAATGAAATTAAAAGGAATAATTTTGAGGAAAAGGAAGAAACGAAAACATAAAACGTTAACATTTGTAGGAGGAAAGAGAAGAAACTAAAGTAACACATGGGAATTTGTAAGAAAGAAGAAAGTGAACAAAATAAAAAGAAATAATATTAAGGAAAAGAAAGGAACGAAATAAAAAAGAGGATAATATCGGCAGGAAGAAAGAGTGCAAATTAAAAGAACTTAAGTGAAAATTTGAGGAGATCAGGAAGAGAATGAAATTAGGAGGAAAAAAGGAATAATTTTGAGGAAAAGGAAGAAACGAAAAGAAAAACATAAAACGTTAACATTTGTAGGAGGAAAGAGAAGAAAAAAAGTAACACATGGGGAATTTGTAAGAAAGAAGAAAGTGAAAAAAAAAAAAGAAATAATATTAAGGAAAAGAAAGGAATGAAAAAAAAAAGAGGATAATAAAGAGGCAGGAAGAAAGAGTGCAAATTAAAAGAACTTAAGTGAAATTTGAGGAGACAGTAAGAGAATGAATTTAAAAGGAATAATTTTGAGGAAAAGGAAGAAACGAAAACAAAAAAACGTTAAAATTTGTAGGAGGAAAGAGAAGAAACTGAAAAGAGGAACACATGGGAATTTGTAAGGAAAAGAAGAAACTGAACAAAATAAAAAGAAATAATATTAAGGAAAAGAAAGGAACGAAATAAAAAGAGGATAATATCGGCAGGAAGAAAGAGTGCAAATTAAAGGAACGTAAGTGAAATTTGAGGAGATCAGTAAGAGAATGAAATTTAAAGGAATAATTTTGAGGAAAAGGAAGAAACGAAAACATAAAACGTTAACATTTGTAGGAGGAAAGAGAAGAAACTAAAGTAACACATGGGAATTTGTAAGAAAGAAGAAAGTGAACAAAATAAAAAGAAATAATATTAAGGAAAAGAAAGGAAATAAAAAAAAAGAGGATAATATCGGCAGGAAGAAAGAGTGCAAATTAAAAGAACTAGAAGTGAAATTTGAGGAGATCAGTAAGAGAATGAAATTAAAGGAATAATTTTGAGGAAAAGGAAGAAACGAAAACATAAAACGTTAACATTTGTAGGAGGAAAGAGAAGAAACTAAAGTAACACATGGGAATTTGTAAGAAAGAAGAAAGTGAACAAAATAAAAAGAAATAATATTAAGGAAAAGAAAGGAACGAAATAAAAAGAGGATAATATCGGCAGGAAGAAAGAGTAAAAATAAAAGAACTTAAGTGAAATTTGAGGAGATCAGTAAGAGAATGAAATTAAAAGGAATAATTTTGAGGAAAAGGAAGAAATGAAAACATAAAACGTTAACATTTGTAGGAGGAAAGAGAAGAAACTAAAGTAAACATGGGAATTTGTAAGAAAGAAGAAAGAAAAAAAAAAAAAGAAATAATATTAAGGAAAAGAAAGGAACGAAATAAAAAGAGGATAATATCGGCAGGAAGAAAGAGTGCAAATTAAAGGAAATAAGTGAAATTTGAGGAGATCAGTAAGAGAATGAAATTAAAGGGAATAATTTTGAGGAAAAGGAAGAAACGAAAACATAAAACGTTAATTTGTAGGAGGAAAGAGAAGAAACTAAAGTAACACATGGGAATTTGTAAGAAAGAAGAAAGTGAACAAAATAAAAAAAGAAATAATATTAAGGAAAAGAAAGGAACTAAAAAAAGAAGATAATATCGGCAGGAAGAAAGAGTAAAATAAAAGATAAGTGAATTTGAGGAGATCAGTAAGAGAATGAAATTAAAGGAATAATTTTGAGGAAAAGGAAGAAATGAAAACATAAAACGTTAACATTTGTAGGAGGAAAGAAAAGAAACTAAAGTAATTATGGGAAAAGAAAGAAGAAAGTGAACAAAAAAAAAAGAAATAATATTAAGGAAAAGAAAGGAACGAAATAAAAGAGGATAATATCGGCAGGAATTAAAAAATTAAAAAGAACTTAAGTGAAATTTGAGGAGATCAGTAAGAGAATGAAATTAAAAGGAATAATTTTGAGGAAAAAGGAAGAAACGAAAAACAGAAAAAGAAAAACGTTAACATTTGTAGGAGGAAAAGAGAAGAAAACTAAAGTAACACATGGGAATTTGTAAGAAAGAAGAAAGTGAACAAAAGAAAAAAGAAATAATATTAAGGAAAAAAGAAAGGAAACGAAATAAAAAGAGGATAATATCGGCAGGAAGAAAGAGTGCAAATTAAAAAACTTAAGTGAAATTTCAGGAGATCAGTAAGAGAATGAAATTAAAGGGAATAATTTTGAGGAAAAGGAAGAAACGAAAACATAAAACGTTAACATTTGTAGGAGGAAAGAGAAGAAACTAAAGTAACACATGGGAATTTGTAAGAAAGAAGAAAGTGAACAAAATAAAAAGAAATAATATTAAGGAAAAGAAAGGAATGAAATAAAAAGAGGATAATATCGGCAGGAAGAAAGAGTGCAAATTAAAGGAACGTAAGTGAAATTTGATGAGATCAGTAAGTGAACGAATTTAAAAGGAATAATTTTGAGGAAAAAGGAAGAAACGAAAACATAAAACGTTAACATTCGTAGGAGGAAAGAAAAGAAACTAAAGTAACACATGGGAATTTGTAAGAAAGAAGAAAGTGAACAAAATAAAAAGAAATAATATTAAGGAAAAGAAAGGAACTAAATAAAAAGAGGATAATATCGGCAGGAAGAAAGAGTGCAAATTAAAAGAACTTAAGTGAAATTTGATGAGATCAGTAAGTGAACGAATTTAAAAGGAATAATTTTGAGGAAAAAGGAAGAAATGAAAAACATAAAACGTTAACATTTGTAGGAGGAAAGAGAAGAAAACTAAAGTAACACATGGGAATTTGTAAGAAAGAAGAAAGTGAAAAAAATAAAAAGAAATAATATTAAGGAAAAGAAAGGAACGAAATAAAAAGAGGATAATATCGGCAGGAAGAAAGAGTGCAAATTAAAAAAGAACTTAAGTGAAATTTGAGGAGATCAGTAAGAGAATGAAATTAAAGGAATAATTTTGAGGAAAAGGAAGAAACGAAAACATAAAACGTTAACATTTGTAGGAGGAAAGAGAAGAAACTAAAGTAACACATGGGAATTTGTAAGAAAGAAGAAAGTGAACAAAATAAAAATAAATAATATTAAGGAAAAGAAAGGAACGAAATAAAAAGAGGATAAAAGAAGGATAAAATCGGAAAGGAGGAGAAAGAGAATGTAAAGGAAAATTTTGAGGAAAAAAGACGAAAAACATAAAATGTTAAATTTAGGAGGAAAGAGAAGAGATCAGAAAAGAAGAAATGAACAAAATAAAAAGAAATAAAAAGGAAAAGAAAGGAAATAAATTTTGAAGGGAACTTAAATGAAAAAGAGAAAAAATTAAAAGAAAACTTTGAGGAAAAGGAAGAAACGAAAACATAAAATTTAAAATTTGTAGGAGGAAAGAGAAGAAACTAAAAGTAACACATGGGAATTTGTAAGAAAGAAGAAAGTGAACAAAATAAAAAGAAATAATATTAAGGAAAAGAAAGGAATAAAAAGAGGATAATATCGGCAGGAAGAAAAAAAAAGAGGATAATATAAGGAATGAAGGAAGAAAGAGAAAAGGAAGAAATTAAAAGAATTTGTAGGAGGAAAGAGAAGAAATTTGAGGAGATCAAAAGAGAATGAAAAAAAGAAAAGAACAAAATAAAAGAAATAATATTAAGGAAAAGGAATAATTTTGCAGGAAGAAAAGGAAAAACGAAAACAGGAAAACGTTAACATTTGTAGGAGGAAAAAGAAGAAGAAACTAAAAAAGTAACACATGGGAATTTGTAAGAAAGAAGAAAGTGAACAAAATAAAAAGAAATAATATTAAGGAAAAGAAAGGAACGAAATAAAAAAAGGATAATATCGGCAGGAAGAAAGAGTGCAAATTAAAAGAACTGAAATGAAATTTGAGGAGATCAGTAAGAGAATGAAATTAAAAGGAATAATTTTGAGGGAAAAAGGAAGAAACGAAAACATAAAACGTTAACATTTGTAGGAGGAAAGAGAAGAAACTAAAAAAGTAACACATGGGAATTTGTAAGAAAGAAGAAAGTGAACAAAAAAAAAAGAAATAATATTAAGGAAAAGAAAGGAACGAAATAAAAGAGGATAATATCGGCAGGAAGAAAGAGTGCAAATTAAAAAACTTAAGTGAAATTTGAGGAGATCAGTAAGAGAATGAAATTAAAAGGAATAATTTTGAGGAAAAGGAAGAAACGAAAACATAAAACGTTAACATTTGTAGGAGGAAAGAGAAGAAACTAAAGTAACACATGGGAATTTGTAAGAAAGAAGAAAGTGAACAAAATAAAAAGAAATAATATTAAGGAAAAGAAAGGAACTAAATAAAAAGAGGATAATATCGGCAGGAAGAAAGAGTGCAAATTAAAAGAACTTAAGTGAAATTTGAGGAGATCAGTAAGAGAATGAAATTAAAGGGAATAATTTTGAGGAAAAGGAAGAAACGAAAACATAAAAACGTTAACATTTGTAGGAGGAAAAAGAAAAGAAACTAAAGTAAACACATGGGAATTTGTAAGAAAGAAGAAAGTGAACAAAATAAAAAGAAATAATATTAAGGAAAAAGAAAGGAACGAAATAAAAAGAGGATAATATCGGCAGGAAGAAAGAGTGCAAATTAAAAGGAACTTAATGAAATTTGAGGAGATCAGTAAGAGAATGAAATTAAAAGGAATAATTTTGAGGAAAAGGAAGAAACGAAAACATAAAACGTTAAAATTTGTAGGAGGAAAGAGAAGAAAAAAAAGTAACACATGGGAATTTGTAAGAAAGAAGAAAGTGAACAAAATAAAAAAGAAATAATATTAAGGAAAAGAAAGGAACGAAATAAAAAGAGGATAATATCGGCAGGAAGAAAGAGTGCAAATTAAAAGAACTTAAGTGAAATTTGAGGAGATCAGTAAGAGAATGAAATTAAAAGGAATAATTTTTGAGGAAAAGGAAGAAACGAAAACATAAAACGTTAACATTTGTAGGAGGAAAGAGAAGAAACAAAGTAACACATGGGAATTTGTAAGAAAGAAGAAAGTGAACAAAATAAAAAGAAATAATATTAAGGAAAGGAAACTAAAAAAAAAGAAAGGAAGAAAAGTGCAAAAAAAGAGGATAATATCGAGAAGAAAAAAGAAAGAGAGGAAAAGGAAGAAAGAAAAATTAAGGAAATTTGAGAGAGATCAGTAAGAAAGAATGAAATAAAAAGGAATAATTTTGAAAGGAATGAAAAAAAGGAAGAAACGAAAACATAAAACGTTAATGAATTTGTAGGAGGAAAGAGAAGAAACGTTAATATTGAGGAAGAAAAAGAAAACATAAATGGGAATTTGTAAGAAAAGAAGAAAGTGAACAAAAAGAAAAAGAAATAAAATAAAAAGAAAAAGAAAGAAAAAAGAAAGGAAAAAAAAAAGAGGATAATATCGGCAGGAAGAAAGAGTGCAAATTAAAAAGAACTTAAGTGAAATTTGAGGAGATCAGTAAGAGAATGAAATTAAAAGGAATAATTTTGAGGAAAAGGAAGAAACGAAAAACACAAAACGTTAACATTTGTAGGAGGAGGAAAGAGAAGAAAAACAAAAGTAAGGAAAAAAACATAAAAAGAGGAATTCGGCAGGTAAGAAAGCAAATTAAAAGAAGAAAGAGGAACAAAATAAAAAGAAATAATTTTAAGGAAAAGAAAGAAAACATAAAATGAAATAGGAAAAGAGGATAATATCGGCAGGAAGAAAGAGTGCAAATTAAAAGAACTTAAGGGAAAAGAAATTTAAAAGAGGAGATCAGTGCAAAATTAAAGAGAATGAAATTAAAGGAATAATTTTGAGGAAAAGGAAGAAACGAAAACATAAAACGTTAACATTTGTAGGAGGAAAGAGAAGAAACTAAAGTAAAACACATGGGAATTTGTAAGAAAGAAGAAAGTGAACAAAATAAAAAGAAATAATATTAAGGAAAAGAAAGGCACGAAATAAAAGAGGATAATATCGGCAGGAAGAAAGAGTGCAAATTAAAAGAACTTAAATGAAATTTGAGGAGATCAGTAAGAGAATGAAATTTAAAGGAATAATTTTGAGGAAAAGGAAGAAACGAAAACATAAAACGTTAACATTTGTAGGAGGAAAGAGAAGAAACTAAAGTAACATATGGGAATTTGTAAGAAAAAGTAACAAATGGGAATTTAAGGAAAAGAAAGAAGAAATAAAAAAGTGAACAGGAAAAATGCAAAAAAAGAAATAATGAGGAGATTAAGAGAAAAAGAAAGGAAATGAAAAGGAAAATGAAAAAAAAAGGATAATATCGGGAGGAAGAAAGAGTGCAAATTAAAAAATGAACAAAATAAAAGTGAAATTTAAGGAAAAGAAAGGAGATAAAAAGAGGATAAAGAGAATGAAATTAAAAGGAATAATTTTGAGGAAAAGGAAGAAACGAAAAACATAAAACGTTAACATTTGTAGGAGGAAAGAGAAGAAACTAAAGTAACACATGGGAATTTGTAAGAAAGAAGAAAGTGAACAAAATAAAAAGAAATAATATTAAGGAAAAGAAAGGAACGAAATAAAAAGAGGATAATATCGGCAGGAAGAAAGAGTGCAAATTAAAAGAACTTAAGTGAAATTTGAGGAGATCAGTAAGAGAATGAAATTAAAAAGGAATAATTTTGAGGAAAAGGAAGAAACGAAAAACATAAAAACGTTAACATTTGTAGGAGGAAAGAGAAGAAAGGAAAAAAGTAACACATGGGAATTTGTAAGAAAGAAGAAAGTGAAACAAAATAAAAAAGAAATAATATTAAGGAAAAGAAAGGAATGAAATAAAAAGAGGATAATATCGGCAGGAAGAAAGAGTGCAAATTAAAAGAACTTAAGTGAAATTTGAGGAGATCAGTAAGAGAATGAAATTAAAGGAATAATTTTGAGGAAAAGGAAGAAACGAAAACATAAAACGTTAACATTTGTAGGAGGAAAGAGAAGAAACCAAAAAGTAACACATTTGTAAGGGAAGTGAACAAAATAAAAAGAAATAATAAGAAAGAAGAAAGTGAACAAAATAAAAAGAAATAATATTAAGGAAAAGAAAGGAACTAAAGTGAAAAAAGAGGATAATATTTAAAGGAAGAAAGAAGAAATGAAATTAAAAGAACATTTTAGGAGGAAAGAGAAGTGAAATTTGAGAGATCAGTAAGAGAATGAAATTAAAAGGAATAATTTTGAGGAAAAGGAAGAAACGAAAACAGTGAAAAACGTTAACATTTGTAGGAGAGGAAAAGAAGAAGAAACTAAAAAGTTAACACAAAAGAAACTAAAAATTTGTAAGAAAGAAGAAAGTGAACAAAATAAAAAGAAATAATATTAAGGAAAAGAAAGGAACGAAATAAAAAGAGGATAATATCGGCAGGAAGAAAGAGTGCAAATTAAAAGAACTTAAGTGAAATTTGAGGAGATCAGTAAGAGAATGAAATTAAAAGGAATAATTTTGAGGAAAAGGAAGAAACGAAAACATAAAACGTTAACATTTGTAGGAGGAAAGAGAAGAAACTAAAGTAACACATGGGAATTTGTAAGAAAGAAGAAAGTGAACAAAATAAAAAAGAAATAATATTAAGGAAAAAGAAAGGAAATGATTTAAAAGGAAATAAAAGAGGATAATATCGGCAGGGAAGAAAGAGTGCAAATTAAAAGAACTTAAGTGAAATTTGAGGAGATCAGTAAAGAGAATGAAATTTAAAGGAATAATTTTGAGGAAAAGGAAGAAACGAAAACATAAAACGTTAACATTTGTAGGAGGAAAGAGAAGAAACTAAAAGTAACACATGGGAATTTGTAAGAAAGAAGAAAGTGAACAAAATAAAAAGAAATAATATTAAGGAAAAGAAAGGAACTAAATAAAAAGAGGATAATATCGGCAGGAAGAAAGAGTGCAAATTAAAAAGAACTTAAGAAATTTGAGGAGATTAAAGAATGAATTTAAAAGGAATAATTTTGAGAAAAGGAAGAAAACATAAAAGATAGAGAGAAAGAGAAGAAATGAATTTTAAGAAAGAAGAAAGGAAAAAAAGAAATTATTAAGGAGGAAAAGGAAGAAAAGGATAAAACAAGAAAGAGGCAAATTAAAAAACGTTGAAATTGGATTTGAGAAGGAGGAAAGAGGAAAAAGAAATGAAAACATAAAAGTTAACATTTGTAGGAGGAAAGGAATTTGTAATGGGAATTTGAAGAAAGAAGAAAGTGAAAAAAATAAAAAGAAATAATATTAAGGAAAAGAAATGAACGAAATAAAAAGAGGATAATATCGGCAGGAAGAAAGAGTGCAAATTAAAAAAGAACTTAAGTGAAATTTGAGGAGATCAGTAAGAGAATGAAATTAGGGAAAAAGGAATAATTTTGAGGAAAAGGAAGAAACGAAAACAAAACGTTAACATTTGTAGGAGGAAAGAGAAGAAAAAAAAGTAAACACATGGGAATTTGTAAGAAAGAAGAAAGTGAACAAAATAAAAAGAAATAATATTAAGGCAAAGAAAGGATCTAAATAAAAAGAGGATAATATCGGCAGGAAGAAAGAGTGCAAATTAAAAGAACTTAAGTGAAATTTGAGGGAGATCAGTAAGAGAATGAAATTAAAAGGAATAATTTTGAGGAAAAGGAAGAAACGAAAACATAAAACGTTAACATTTGTAGGAGGAAAGAGAAGAAACTAAAGTAACACATGGGAATTTGTAAGAAAGAAGAAGTGATAAAAAATAAAAAAAATAAAAAGAAATAAATAAAAAGAGGATTAAGGAAAAGCAAAAAGGAACTAAATAGTAAAAAGAGGATAATATCGGAAAAGGAAGAAAGAAAAACATAAAACGCAAATTAGGAGGAAAAAGAACTTAAGTGAAATTTGATGAGTGAAGAAAGTAAGAGAACAAAATTTAAAAGGAATAATTTTGAGGAAAAGGAAGAAAAGAAAACATAAAAAACGTTAACATTTGTAGGAGGAAAGAGAAGAAACTAAAGAAAACACATGGGAATTTGTAAGAAAGAAGAAAGTGAACAAAATAAAAAGAAATAATATTAAGGAAAAGAAAGGAACGAAATAAAAAGAGGATAATATCGGCAGGAAGAAAGAGTGCAAATTAAAAGAACTTAAGTGAAATTTGAGGAGATCAGTAAGAGAATGAAATTAAAAGGAATAATTTTGAGGAAAAGGAAGAAACGAAAAAAATAAAAACGTTAACATTTGTAGGAGGAAAGAGAAGAAAGAAATTTTGAGGAAAAGGAAAAGTAAACATGGAATTTGTAGGAGAAAGAGAAGAGTAACACATGGGAAAGTGAACAAAATAAAAAGAAATAATATTAAGGAAAAGAAAGGAACGAAATAAAAAGAGGATAATATCGGCAGGAAGAAAGAGTGCAAATTAAAAGAACTTAAGTGAAATTTGAGGAGATCAGTAAGAGAATGAAATTAAAAGGAATAATTTTGAGGAAAAGGAAGAAACGAAAAACAAAAACGTTAACATTTGTAGGAGGAAAGAGAAGAAACTAAAGTAACACATGGGAATTTGTAAGAAAGAAGAAAGTGAACAAAATAAAAAGAAATAATATTAAGGAAAAGAAAGGAACGAAATAAAAAGAGGATAATATCGGCAGGAAGAAAGAGTGCAAATTAAAGGAACGTAAGTGAAATTTGATGAGATCAGTAAGTGAACGAATTTAAAAGGAATAATTTTGAGGAAAAAGGAAGAAACGAAAACATAAAACGTTAACATTCGTAGGAGGAAAGAGAAGAAACTAAAGTAACACATGGGAATTTGTAAGAAAGAAGAAAGTGAACAAAATAAAAAGAAATAATATTAAGGAAAAGAAAGGAACGAAATAAAAAGAGGATAATATCGGCAGGAAGAAAGAGTGCAAATTAAAAGAACTTAAGTGAAATTTGAGGAGATCAGTAAGAGAATGAAATTAAAAGGAATAATTTTGAGGAAAAGGAAGAAACGAAAAACATAAAAACGTTAACATTTGTAGGAGGAAAAGAGAAGAAACTAAAGTAACACATGGGAATTTGTAAGAAAGAAGAAGGTGAACAAAATAAAAAGAAATAATATTAAGGAAAAGAAAGGAACGAAATAAAAAGAGGATAATATCGGCAGGAAGAAAGAGTGCAAATTAAAAAGAATTAAGTGAAATTTGAGGAGATTAGTAAGAGAATGAAATTTAAAGGGAATAATTTTGAGGAAAAGGAAGAAACGAAAACATAAAACGTTAACATTTGTAGGAGGAAAGAGAAGAAACTAAAGTAACACTAGGGGAATTTGTAAGAAAGAAGAAAGTGAACAAAATAAAAAGAAATAATATTAAGGAAAAGAAAGGAACGAAATAAAACAGGATAATATCGGCAGGAAGATAGAGTGCAAATTAAAAGAACTTAAGTGAAATTTGAGGAGATCAGTAAGAGAATGAAATTAAAAGGAATAATTTTGAGGAAAAGGAAGAAACAAAAACATAAAACGTTAACATTTGTAGGAGGAAAGAGAAGAAACTAAAGTAACACATGGGAATTTGTAAGAAAGAAGAAAGTGAACAAAATAAAAAGAAATAATATTAAGGAAAAGAAAGGAAATGAAATAAAAGAGGATAATATCGGCAGGAAGAAAGAGTGCAAAATTAAAAGAACTTAAGTGAAATTGGAGGAGATCAGTAAGAGAGATTAAAAGAATAAGAGAATGAAACGTTAACATTTAAAGGAATGGAATTTTAAGAAAGAAGGTGAACAAAAAAAGGAAGGAAGAAAAACATAAAAAACGTTAACATTTGTAGGAGGAGGAAAAGAGAAGAAATTTCTGAGGAGAAAAGGAAGAAACACATGGGAATTTGTAAGAAAGAAGAAAGTGAACAAAATAAAAAGAAATGAACAAAATATTAAGGAAAAGAAAGGAATGAAATAAAAGAGGATAATATCGGCAGGAAGAAAGAGTGCAAATTAAAAGAACTTAAGTGAAATTTGAGGAGATCAGTAAGAGAATGAAATTGAGGAAAAAAAGGAATAATTTTGAGGAAAAGGAAGAAACGAAAACATAAAACGTTAACATTTGTAGGAGGAAAAGAGAAGAAACTAAAAGCAACACATGGGAATTTGTAAGAAAGAAGAAAGTGAACAAAATAAAAGAAATAATATTAAGGAAAAGAAAGGAACGAAATAAAAAGAGGATAATATCGGCAGGAAGGAAGAGTGCAAATAAAAGAACTTAAGTGAAATTTGATGAAATTAGTAAGTGAATGAAATTAAAAGGAATAATTTTGAGGAAAAGGAAGAAACGAAAACATAAAACGTTAACATTTGTAGGAGGAAAGAGAAGAAACTAAAGTAACACATGGGAATTTGTAAGAAAGAAGAAAGTGAACAAAATAAAAAGAAATAATATTAAGGAAAAGAAAGGAACGAAATAAAAAGAGGATAATATCGGCAGGAAGAAAGAGTGCAAATTAAAAGAACTTAAGTGAAATTTGATGAGATCAGTAAGAGAATGAAATTAAAAGGAATAATTTTGAGGAAAAGGAAGAAAACGAAACATAAAACGTTAACATTTGTAGGAGGAAGAAAGAGAAGAAACTAAAGTAACACATGGGAATTTGTAAGAAAGAAGAAAGTGAACAAAATAAAAGAAATAATATTAAGGAAAAGAAAGGAACGAAATAAAAAGAGGATAATATCGGCAGGAAGAAAGAGTGCAAATTAAAAGAACTTAATGAAATTTGAGGAGATCAGTAAGAGAATGAAATTAAAAGGAATAATTTTTGAGGAAAAGGAAGAAAAAGAAATGAAAACAGGAAAAACGTTAACATTTGTAGGAGGAAAGAGAAGAAAATAAAGAAATAACACATGGGAATTTGTAAGAAAGAAGAAAGTGAAAAAATAAAAAAAGAAATAATATTAAGGAAAAGAAAGGAAATAAATAAAAAGAGGATAATATCGGCAGGAAGAAAGAGTGCAAATTAAAAGAACTTAAGTGAAATTTCAGGAGATTAGTAAGTGAACGAATTTAAAAGGAATAATTTTGAGGAAAAAGGAAGAAACGAAAACATAAAACGTTAACATTTGTAGGAGGAAAGAGAAGAAACTAAAGTAACACATGGGAATTTGTAAGAAAGAAGAAAGTGAACAAAATAAAAGAAATAATATTAAGGAAAAGAAAGGAACTAAATAAAAAGAGGATAATATCGGCAGGAAGAAAGAGTGCAAATTAAAAGAACTTAAGTGAAATTTGAGGAGATCAGTAAGAGAATGAAATTAAAGGGAATAATTTTGAGGAAAAGGAAGAAACGAAAACATAAAACGTTAACATTTGTAGGAGGAAAGAGAAGAAACTAAAGTAACACATGGGAATTTGTAAGAAAGAAGAAAGTGAACAAAATAAAAAGAAATAATATTAAGGAAAAGAAAGGAACTAAATAAAAAGAGGATAATATCGGCAGGAAGAAAGAGTGCAAATTAAAAGAACTTAAGTGAAATTTGAGGAGATCAGTAAGAGAATGAAATTAAAAGGAATAATTTTGAGGAAAAGGAAGAAACGAAAACATAAAACGTTAAAATTTGTAGGAGGAAAGAGAAGAAACTAAAGTAAACATGGGAATTTGTAAGAAAGAAGAAAGTGAACAAAATAAAAAGAAATAATATTAAGGAAAAGAAAAGAAATAAAAAGAGAAATAAAAGAGGATGCAAAATAAAAGAATCGGCAGGAAGTAAAAGAATTAAAGGGAAAATTGAGGAAAAGGAAGAAAAGAAAAACTAAAAGTGAAATTTTAGGAGGAGAGAAGAAACTAAAAGTAAGAATGAAATTAAAGGAACAAAATAATTTTGAGGAAAAGAAAGGAAAAAAGGAAAACATAAAACGTTAACATTTGTAGGAGGAAAGAATTAAAGAAAGGAAAAGAAGAAACGAAAACATAAAACGGGAATTTTTGAAGAAATAAAAAGAAAGAAGAAAGTGAACAAAATAAAAAGAAATAATATTAAGGAAAAGAAAGGAACTAAATAAAAAGAGGATAATATCGGCAGGAAGAAAGAGTGCAAATTAAAAGAACTTAAGTGAAATTTGAGGAGATCAGTAAGTGAACGAATTTAAAAGGAATAATTTTGAGGAAAAAGGAAGAAACGAAAACATAAAACGTTAACATTTGTAGGAGGAAAGAGAAGAAACTAAAGTAACACATGGGAATTTGTAAGAAAGAAGAAAGTGAACAAAATAAAAAGAAATAATATTAAGGAAAAGAAAGGAACTAAATAAAAAGAGGATAATATCGGCAGGAAGAAAGAGTGCAAATTAAAAGAACTTAAGTGAAATTTGAGGAGATCAGTAAGAGAACGAATTTAAAAGGAATAATTTTGAGGAAAAGGAAGAAACGAAAACATAAAACGTTAACATTTGTAGGAGGAAAGAGAAGAAACTAAAGTAACACATGGGGAATTTGTAAGAAAGAAGAAAGTGAACAAAATAAAAAGAAATAATATTAAGGAAAAGAAATGAACGAAATAAAAAGAGGATAATATCGGCAGGAAGAAAGAGTGCAAATTAAAACAACTTAAGTGAAATTTGATGAGATCAGTACGAGAATGAAATTAAAAGGAATAATTTTGAGGAAAAGTAAGAAACGAAAACATAAAACGTTAACATTTGTAGGAGAAAAGAGAAGAAACTAAAGTAACACATGGGAATTTGTAAGAAAGAAGAAAGTGAACAAAATAAAAAGAAATAATATTAAGGAAAAGAAAGGAACTAAATAAAAAGAGGATAATATCGGCAGGAAGAAAGAGTGCAAATTAAAGGAACGTAAGTGAAATTTGATGAGATCAGTAAGTGAACGAATTTAAAAGGAATAATTTTGAGGAAAAAGGAAGAAACGAAAACATAAAACGTTAACATTCGTAGGAGGAAAGAGAAGAAACTAAAGTAACACATGGGAATTTGTAAGAAAGAAGAAAGTGAACAAAATAAAAAGAAATAATATTAAGGAAAAGAAAGGAACTAAATAAAAAGAGGATAATATCGGCAGGAAGAAAGAGAGTGGAGATTAGTAAGTGAAAAATTAAAAGAACTTAATGAAATTTGATGAGATCAGTAAGAGAATGAAATAAAAAGGAATAATTTTGAGGAAAAGGAAGAAAGGAAAACGGCAGGAAAACGTTAACATTTGTAGGAGGAAAGAGAAGAAAAGTGAAAAGTAAAAGGAACATGGGAATTTGTAGGGAGGAAAGAGAAGAAACTAAAGAAAGAAGAATTTGAACAAAATAAAAAGAAATAATAAAAGGAAAAGAAAGGAACGAAATAAAAAGAGGATAATATCGGCAGGAAGAAAGAGTGCAAATTAAAAGAACTTAAGTGAAATTTGATGAGATCAGTACGAGAATGAAATTAAAAGGAATAATTTTGAGGAAAAGGAAGAAACGAAAACATAAAACGTTAACATTTGTAGGAGGAAAGAGAAGAAACTAAAAAACACATGGGTATTTGTAAGAAAGAAGAAAGTGAACAAAATAAAAAGAAATAATATTAAGGAAAAGAAAGGAACTAAATAAAAAGAGGATAATATCGGCAGGAAGAAAGAGTGCAAATTAAAAGAACTTAAGTGAAATTTCAGGAGATCAGTAAGAGAATGAAATTAAAGGGAATAATTTTGAGGAAAAGGAAGAAACGAAAACATAAAACGTTAACATTTGTAGGAGGAAAGAGGAGACACTAAAGTAACACATGGGAATTTGTAAGAAAGAAGAAAGTGAACAAAATAAAAAGAAATAATATTAAGGAAAAGAAAGGAACTAAATAAAAAGAGGATAATATCGGCAGGAAGAAAGAGTGCAAATTATAAGGACTTAAGTGAAATTTGATGAGTTCAGTAAGTGAACGAATTTAAAAGGAATAATTTTAAGGAAAAAGGAAGAAACGAAAACATAAAACGTTAACATTTGTAGGAGGAAAGAGAAGAAACTAAAGTAACACATGGGAATTTGTAAGAAAGAAGAAAGTGAACAAAATAAAAAGAAATAATATTAAGGAAAAGAAAGGAACGAAATTAAAAGACGATAATCTCGGCAGGAAGAAAGATTGCAAATTAAAGGAACTTATATGAATATTGAGGACTTCAGTAAATGAACGAATTTAAAAGGAATAATTTTTCAGGAAAAGGAAGAAACGAAAAGGCAAAACGTTAACATTTGTAGGAGGAAAGAGAAGAAACTAAAGTAACACATGGGAATTTTAAGGAAGAAAGTGAACAAAATTAAAAAAATAATATTAAGGGAAAATAAGGAACGAAATAATAATAGTATAACATATCTTGGCGGAAGGAAAGGAAGCTAAATTAGCACAAGGCAACTTTGTAGATAGAAGCGAACAATATAAATGGAATAATGTTGAGGAAATAAAAGAAAGGAACTAAATGTAAAAATGTTACCTTGTGTGGGCGGAACGCGTGGTAATAATGAAACAGAAATGAAATTCTAAGACAGAAGAAACAAAGGAATAATATTGACTAAATGTTGAGTGGCACGAAATATATAGAATGATAACTTCGCTGGTCGGAAAGAGAAGAAACCAAATTTATACAAGTGAACTTATATAGGGACGAATATTAACGAAAGAAAAACTATAATTTTCAGGAAAAAAATAGAGGGAACGAAAGAAGGAAATTTTAAACTTTGTTGGTTAGAAGACAAAAAACTTAAGAAACACAATGGAAGTTGGAAGAGAGAAAAACTTAAAAGAAATCGTAAGGAATACTCTTAAGGAATGGAAGATTGGGAATGAAATAAAAAATATGGGTAACTTAGGTGGGCGGAAAAAATGGAACTAAAAAACAAGATAAAATCGAGGAAGGATTGAATTCTATGAAATAAATTTGAATATTTTTGAGAAAAAGAATTATGTGATCGAAATAAGAAATAGGATAAACTATCTCGGCGGGAAGAGACGAAACTAATGAAACAAAAAAGACATTGGAAGTGAGAAGAAAGTGAATGAAATAAAAAGTAATAATGTTGAGAAAATACAGTAGGTGATCGAAAAAATAAACTTTAACATGGATTGGCGGAAAGAGAGGAAACTTTATCAACACAATAGAAATTTGAATAGGGAAGAGTAAAAGAAGTAAATAGGAACATTTTTTGTGCTAAAGAAGATTGAAAACTAAATAAGTCAAAGAATAATCTAGGCGGGAATGAAGGGTGAAAACTAAAGAAACCCAACAGCAAATGGAAGAGTGACGATAATGAACGAAATAAAATGAAAATGTTTTAATTGAAAGAAGAATACAATCGATACAAGAAGCAGAATAACCTAATTGTGCGAAAAGAAAAAATGCTAAAGTGACACGAGAGGAAATGGAAAAGAGTGAAGAAAATGAACAAAATAAAAAGGAATAATGTTGAGGAAAAGAAGAATGGGAACGAAAAAAAAAAGTAACATTGGTGGGCGGAAAGAGAGGAAACTATAGAAACAGAATAGAAATTTAAAACGAGAACAAAAGTATTAAAGAAAAAAATGAGTTTAGTGTGGGAAAAATTGTGGGTAACAAAATTATAACGAATGAATTTCGAGGCAAGAAGTGTAGGAATTTAATTAAAAAAAAGATGTTATTATGAAAAAAAGAAAATGGGGGAATTAAGAAAATGATATTGGTGAAACCAAAGTTCCAATGAAATAAAGAACTGCGTAGGGAAAGAAAAGTTTGAACGAAGAAATTTTAGAAAAAAGTATGTGAATGTAACACAAAAATTGTCGTGTTGTAGAAGAGATTAAAGAAAATGAAAAAGACGTCCTTTGTGAAAGAAAAGTGGAACAAAATATCAAAAAAGATATTTGAGAAAGATGAGAGTGAATGAAATCATAAAAGTTATCAGCACAGAAAGAAAAGAGTGAAACAAATTAAAAAAAAAATGATTGGGAATAGTTTTAGTGAATGAAATGAAAAAGTATTCAGCACGGAAAGAAAATTGTGAACAAAATTAGCGAATTAGGGTGCTCGGAAAAAGGAAGGGAGTGAATGAAACGAAAAAAGTAATGAGTAAGAATAATAAAAGTGAAGACAACGAAGGAATAAAAAGAGTCGACGAAATCAAAAATGAAGAGAATAAGGGTAAAGAACACAGTACACACATCAAAAATGAAGTGAGTGGAAGAAAGAAAAGAATGAATAAAATTTTTAAAAAAGAATAGCGTTGGTTTAAATTTAGTGAAGGAATTAAAAAAAATGATGTTATCATGAAGTATAAAGATAAAGGAAGATCAAATGTAGACATTAATTCTTATTTTGAATGTTAGAATTTTAAGCTTTATTGAAAGAAAAACAGAAGAATAAAGAAAGGAAGAAAGAAAAGAAGATACATAACAGAAAACAATGAAATATGAAAACTAGATGTTAAAAATTACTAAATATTTGAAAAAAATACTTTTGTCTCTTCAAAGTCACTGTAACTAAAAGGAAATTATTAATTTTTATGATGAAAAAATTCAATCTAATTCTTTATTAGGAAATGTGTTAAAAAATATCATAATCTTGGTAACTGTTTTCATAATGAAAACTTAATTACAAGCAATTCGGCACCTCCACGTGGTGTAATGGTTAGCAATCATGTTACGATAGAATTACGACTGTGTAGTGAGTTCGATCCTCACTGCTTACTCCATAAATTCGGTCTTGTGCCGCATCTACGATACGCTTAGAGAATCGCAAAAATTAAATGAAATTACTTGAAATCCATTAATGCCACTTGTGTTTTGGGATCCTTTTTTTTTTCTTTAAGGAAGTGGATGAATTTAAAAGAAAAATATGTGTGTGTTAATAACTTGTTTTTATAATTCATAGATTTATTAAAAATATGTAAAATAATGCTATATAAAGACATATACGGACAGTGTATAAAATATATTGATTTAAATCAGTAAAAACAGTGATCATCTTTTTGTTTTTCATTACGGCCCTGTGGGATTGTGTAGAATAAAAACATTAATATTTCGGACATTGTATCCAATTATTCCTCCCTCTTCTTTTCTATAATTTCGCAAATAATAGATCGCAAAGCGACCTAAATACAACAATAATGTAAAATGTTTTGACTTACGCAATACACACATACACATATACAGACAAACACACACACACATACATTTATATATGATAGAGACAGAGACAGAAAAGGGAGAGAGGGAAATGGAACAAATGGAATTATTTGCATTTGTGTTCGAGTTTCATAATAAATAAGTTATGTCAGATATGTTAAAGGCTAAAGCTAACTCGCGCATGCGCATGTGTACGCACGCGACGGTGGTGGTATTTTTTCAAATAAAATTTGATAGAAGTAACAATTTCACGAAGTTTCATTTATTTTAAATACATGGAACGACAGATATAAAAAAAATCAATTAAAATTTTAGTCTTGATAAAAAATACGTAAACTAATAATTATGTACGTGTCATCCTTTACCAGATAAATAGGTATCATCGTAAAAAGCTATGCTTATGACTTCGTTGCTGGCTTATTCTAAGAAAAACAGAATTATCATCAGAGCTATTTCATCTTAGACGGAGACTGCAAATCAGTGTGATTTCTCATCTTCAGTACGGCCGCTTGTTTCCTAGTTGCTCATTTGCTCAGATCCATTTGTGATTTCATTGCTAGCGTATTCTTAGAAATTACATCAAAAAGAAAAAACCTAATGAAATGTTTAAGTAAGCTTTTTAAAAAAACACATTTAAACACCCACAAATTTTTTTTTGATTTCTACTAGAACTATACTGAATGGGTCTTAGTCACAGTTCCATAATGTGTTAAAACCCAGCATTTTTTGGTTTTGACCAAGTTTATAAGAAAAGTCTTTTCTTTTTAAGGCTTGTGTGTTTATTTTTCGCTGTTATTTAACCTATGTGGAATGAAAATGGGTCCATCCTTTCCCAATTATTTTTGTGCCAGAATGTTTTTCGCCATTTTTCAATGTTTGATTGAATTTACGAGAAATGTCTAAAAGTCTTTTGTTTCTTATTTTTGATGTTATTTAGGGTTATTTTATTTAATTCCATAAATAAGATTTAGAAAATTGCAATAAAACTGAAAAAAGCCATTTTATTTAATGTAGGAAATTCCTCTTTCTACTGCGGGAGAAAATGTATGAATGGTTAATGTCATATGGATATTAAAAGAAATTAGGAAAAATAAATTAATCGAAGAATAGTGAGAAGAATTATTTTTAAAATGTATTTAATACGTATTCATTTATTCAATTACTGTTTTGTATATATTACGACATTACACACACACACACACACACACACACACAATATATATATATATATATATATATATATATATATATATATATATATATATATATATATTTTGGGGAAATAAATATCAATACGCATGAAAAATTGTATTTTTATAAATGTAAAAGCCTTAAATAAAACAAATTTTGATACATTTTATGTGTGAAGATACATTTTATTAAAAAATAGTAATAAACTTAATTAATTCTTATTCTAACAGAAATTAATGCATTTTTTAAATTTTAACTGATGAAAAAAGTATTCGTACAAAACAAAAAAAGCATATTAACTTAATTTAATTTTGTGGAATTTGAATTTATTGAGTTCAACTAAAGCTACCAGTCTATTCCTGTACGTCTCAACTAATGATTTGCACACATTGAGTGGTATTTTTCCCATTCTTCTTGGCATATTGTCTTCAAATTCTTGATATTTGTTGGTGCTCTAAAAAAAATTTGAATTTTCAAATATCGCCATAAATTCTCGATTGGGTTCAAGTCTGGGGACTGTCTTGGCCATTGCAAGACATCAACGTTACTTTCAGCTAACCATTTCCTTGTAGATCTAACGGTATGCTTAGGATCATTATCCAGTTGGAAAACCCAATCAGGAGGTAGAGGAAGTATTTCAACAGAACGCATTAAATTGTCTTTAGGATTTTGTTGGTATCTTTCGGCATTCATCTTGCCATCTATTATTGATATTCTGCCAACACCTTTTGCAGAAAAACAGCCCCAGATCATGATACTGCCACCACCAAACTTTAAAGTTGGCAACGTGTTCTTTGGTAAGTATTTTCAATTGTTCTTCCTCCACACATGATTTCGATAATTATGACCAAACAACTCTATTTTAGTTTCATCTTGTCCATAGTACTTTTCCCAAAACGAATATTCTTTATCTTTATGCTCTCTAACGAATTTTAGCCTAGCATCAAAATGTCGTTTCAAGAGGAGAAAGGAGGGATCTTGATTTTTTATGTAATTTGTTCACCGTATAAGAACGCTTGGTTACTTTAATCCCTAATGCACGCAGATTTTCCTGCAGCTCTTCTCAGGTAACCTGTGGATTTTGTTGAATCTGGCGTCCTAATATCCTTGCTGATCTTAGAGAAATCTTCCTCGGAGCACCTGCTCGTCTTTGGTTTTCGACGCTGTTACGAGTTTTAAACCTTGCAATGAACGAAGCAATTGTAGTAAAAGGAATATTCAGGTTGTTAGAAATCGTTCTGTAACTGTTCCCATCTTTCCAAAGAGACAAAATGGTTGATTTTGAAAAAATAGTCAATTTTTACCTTTAGGCATTATCAAGATGGATAAGACTAGAAATTGCAGAATGCTCTGATAATGGCAATAATAGCGTTAACTATAATTACTGATAACATTACTGGAACATTCTAGAATATACTTTTTCATAATTAATTGATTATTTTATTTTAATAATTGATTTTGTAATGAATATTTTTTCACCAGTTAGAATAAAAAAATGCATTAATTTCTGTTAGAAATCAGAATAAGAATTAATTAAGTTTATTATTATTTTTAATAGTATGTAATCTTTATACATAAAATGTGCCGAAATTTGTTTTATGAAAAGGCTTTTACATTTATAAAAATACAATTTTCAAGTGTACGAATATTTATTTTACTGTATATATATATATATATATTTATAAACGTTTCATTAAATAAATATAGACAAGTGTTGTCTATTTATTTTATGTAAATTTTATTCGTAACATCTGATAAGTTTGATAACATTATCATTAAACGAAGAAAAAGAAAAAAGTGAAAAAACCTGACAATGAAATCATATTCACTTGATGTTGAAAACTTATTTACCAATGTCCCTGTTAGTGAAACTATTGATTTAATCATAATAAATATATACAGTAACTCATTTTTTTAAAATTAATCCTAATATATTAAGAAAACTACTATTAACTTGTACAACTGAAGTCCTTTCTTCGATCATAATAATTTTAATATATATATACAACGTGATGGTGTCTCCATGGGTTCAGTACTAACATCCGACATTTATTAATTTCTACATGTCGAACCTCGAAAATAAGTTATTTACAGATTTTAAAAACCATCAATCTACCTAAAATACGTTGATGATATTCTTATGTTAGTTAAAAATACAGATGAAATAATTCAACTTCA